CCCGAGACGAGCGCCCCAGCCTGTGGCCACTCCTCGGGGGCCCGCCTGTTGCTTGCCCTCGAGCCTCAAGAGGGGTGCTGGACCGAAGAGTTCAAGGCATACTTGCTTCAGGGGACCCTGCCAGAGAAGGAGGAAGACGCCGAGCGTGTGGCCCGTCAAGCTACCGCGTACTGCATCCAAGATGGTGAGTTATATCGCAAGAGGCCCAATGACGTTTCGTTGCGGTGCATCTTCAGGGAACAGGGGCTCGAGCTACTGGCGGACATACATGGTGGGGACTGCGGGCCTCATTCCTCGTCACACACTCTGGTGGGCAAGGCGTTCTGCAGCGGCTTCTACTGGCCCATCACGCTCAACGATGCTGTAGAGCTGGTGCGCTCTTGTGAAGCATGCCAGTTTCATGCCAAGCAAATCCACCAGCCCCCGCGCAGGGCCTCCAGACAATCCCTCTCATGTGGCCATTCGCGGTCTGGGGGCTGGACATCTTGGGGCCGTTCCCTCGGGCGCCAGGGGGCTACCGGTACCTGTACGTCGCCATCGACAAGTTCACCAAGTGGGCGGAGGTAGAAGCCGTGTGCACTATCCCAGCTGGATCGGCCGTCAAGTTCATCAAGGGAATCGTGAGCCAGTTTGGGGTCCCCAACCGCATCATCATCGACAACGGCTCACAGTTCACCAGCAACCTTTTCAAAACATACTGTGATAACCTTGGAACGCAGATATGCTACGCCTTAGTGGCACACCCACGGAGCAACGGCCAGGCTGAGTGGGCCAACGCAGAAGTCCTGAGGAGGCTCAAGACTAGGACCTTTAGGAAGAAGCTTGAGGCCTGTGGCAGGGGCTGGCTCGACGAGCTGCAGCCCGTGTCGTGGTCCATCCGCACCACCGCGACCAAGCCAACGGGAGAGACATTGTTCTTCCTCGTCTACGGAGTAGAAGCGGTTCTCCCTCACGAGGTCAAGCATCGCTCCACGCGGGTCTTGGCGTTCGACGAGGCACGCCGAGATGCCACGCGGGGGATGGATCTTGTGCTGGGGCAGGAACACCGCTGACAATCCTTGCTCCGGGCGGCAAGGTACCAGCAGGCGCTGCAGCGGTACCGCTGCCGCAGCGTCCTCCCCAGGACGTTAGAGGTGGGCGACCTCGTCCTGAGGCGGGTGCTCTCCAGGGAGGGGTTGCACAACCTCTCTCCCATGTCGGAGGGTCCATTTAGGATTTCCCGTGTCTCCAGGCCTAGCGCCGCGCGCCTGGAGACACAGGACGGGGCCCCCATCTAGAATGCCTGGAACATCCAGCACCTTCGAAAGTTCTACCCCTGAAGAAAGGCTCCGGCCTGTGAAGGTCTCCGCTCATGACACTCTCATGTAATAATGAGTGGGGTTGTAGACGCCCCGGATTCTCCTGAGAGTTGCCCTGGGGCCTCATGAGGGCTCCCTCCCACGTCTTAGTGGTAGCACTTAGCTCCGTGCTGGTGAGAATACTAGTTTAGGTGCCGGACGCGGCTGTTCATTTGCTTTCCGAAGTTGCTTGCAGTTTTTAGTAACCTTTCAATGGATTTGGTATTTTTGAACTCTGGTCCCTCAAGTTGTTTTCTTCCTGAGTTGTTTTCTGCCTAAGGGCGTGAAGGAGGCGGCAGTCTCCCGTCGCTTCCTCTCGCGCAACTCGCGCGTGGGGCTAGGCAGGTGTGTGCGCCTCAGGCCTGCCCTTGCGTGCACGCACCGCGCCAAACCCTGTGTTTCGGTGTCATCCTCGCGAGTAGCGCGACGTGGTGCGTCAAGTCCAAGCTAATCTATGGCAGGGGGCTCACATAAGAAGGAGTGAGTCACTCGACAGTCTTTTCTTTTCTTTTGAGAGCAGCCCTGCGGCGGCTCTTGAAACCCCACGGCTCCCCGGGAAGGGGGGCCCATCATGTACCTGAGGCCAAGTCCTTGCAAGGCGGAAAACTGCTACGCACATACCAAGCTAAGTTATCCTACCCTTGCCTATCCAGAGCACAAACATTACGACACAACATTAAGATAGCATGCATAGCATAAAGGGCATAACTGCCATAGTTCATTACACACCCCAGCGGGGTACACCATCTTTTTTTGAATTACAGGAGAAAGAAAAGGCTAAACAAAGAGGGCCCGAAGGTGTATGAACCTGTTACCAGCACCGCATCCTTAAGCAGTGCCTGAAGGTGTCGGTCTTGAGTCCAAGTTCGCCGGCCCCCAGCCTCACGTCGGGCTCCTCTCCAGTTTCACTGGGGTGCCGCGGCGGGACGAACCACCAGCGTCCTCGAAACGAGCACGACGACGCGGAGGCCGGTCGTAGCCACCACTGCTCGAGCTCTCATCCGAGGAAGAGCTGTCGTCGCGGGAGGAGGAGCACGCGCCGCCAAGACCAAGCTCGCCATCGCCACCTTCGTCGTCGCTGCCATCCTCTGGGTAGTACCCCACGTGGCGGCCGTCCTCCCTGAACACCCTCACATAGAGGGTCGCCAGGCCGTCGTACTTGAAGTGAAGAGTGCACCTTCCGCCCAGGCCTCGCACGCGGGCAAATGTCTGCCAGCCGCAGGTCAGGACCACGCTGCCGGAAGCGGCGCCCTCGACCCTGACCCACGAAGCTCTGTTGCAGCACCCGTCAGCCTGCAGCCAGAGGCCATCGAGCCCCGAAGAAGTAAGCTCGCCGGAGAAGAAGCGCGAAAGTCGGAGCGAGGTGCCGGCCAGGCTCTCCGACCACACCATGAACTCAGGGAGCATGTCCAGCGAGGAGAAGCACGGCCGAGGCGGGCGCACGATCACGGCGCGCCTTCCTTCGTCATGGGGGCTGCTCCGAAGCCAGTGGCCCCCGCCACGAGAAGAGGTGCCATCGCGGGCGCCAAGAGTAACGCCGCCTCTGAGGGGGTGCGCGCCCGCGCCCCCTAGAAGCCGCCGCATGAGCCGCGGGGTACTTGCGGGAATGGTCGCGGCCCCTCTTAGGAGGTGGAGAGGCTGGCCCCTCCTTAGAAGCTTTCCCCTTCTCGGCCGCTGAAAACCTCCCCGGCAACGCCATGGGAGCAGGATGGAGAAGAGAAGAAGCAGGCGGAAGCAAGACAAAGGAAAGATGGGTGAGGGGCTCTGCCCCTCCCTCGCATTTATAGCCAAGGAAGGCCAACCGCCGGCCTCCACGACCTCGCGCCATCATGACCATCTGCATGTCGCAGCGTCCCGTCAAGTTGAACGGTTGCCGAGGCAGCGTGGGGAAGCGGAGTCGCCCACGTCCCATCAATCACCACGCGTAATCAAGGCCGCAAGCGGTTAGGGTCACGGTGCTTCGCACTTGCCCTTTGGCTTCGCCTGGAAGCCAAATCCGAGCGCGCCTTGGGCCCGGGGGCTACTGTCGGCGTCCTGGATATGGCGGTATCCAGCCCTGCCTGCCTGCGACCCACCACGTGGCTCCACCGACGGCCTGGTACGGCCCAGCTTCAGCATCAACAACACAAGACCCTCGCGAGGGGCCAAGCCTCGCGAGGCGGACGACGCCAAGACCCCCGAGGGGATCGGCCTCCTCAGGCTGGCTCCCAAGGGTGGAGAGTTCTATGCAAGGTTTACCTCATGAGGCTCAGCTGACGTGAGCCATGACGACCAAGGCCAGGCGGGCGCAGAGCGCAACTTTTCTTTTCGGTGCAAAGGAGGCAAGCCGTAGGCGTGGAGTCCCGAGGAATCAGCCAAAAGTTTCCATTCTGGTGCAACAAGACCAAGACCGCCAGGACGGCAGGACGGAGGTTATCGACGATCCCACCGCAGCGTCATGACCAGAGTCTTTTTGCAGGCTAAGACTACTTTTGTCAGGATAAGCTGTATTACTTGTCCCTTTTGAAAACCGGCCGTTGTGGGATCCCTTCCCGCCAACATTTGAGAAGAGGACCGAGGCCACTATAAATAGGACTAGCCACCACCTTAGAACGAGGGAAGGCAAGTGGAACTAGCTCACACCACACCAGCTCCCTTGAGCCCAAGAACACCTCACCTCCTGAGGCCAGTTCATCCACTGTACTAGCTCATCCTCATCCCTCCGAGACAATCCACCAAAACACTGGAGTAGGGTATTACACCGCAAGGTGGCCCGAACCAGAATAAACTGTTGTGTTTCTTTGAGCTTGACGAGCTAGGCTTAAGAGGTTCGCGAGTAGACAGACTGCGTAGGTTGAGATCTACACACGCACCCCAGAGTTCTAACCTCTCAAGGGTTTGCGGATCCGGACAGACACCGCTCGCCTTGTGCACTTTATAATCGTGCCACTTTTGAGCGTCCACACGCACCGCTGGCCTCCACACGCATCCTAGAGTTAATCTTGACATAGCTTCAAGCTACTCTTTATAATTGTGCCACTTTTGAGCGTAAGAAAAAAAGAAAATTGATTCATGCCATCGATTTGTGCACGAATGGTCGCGATGGACACCGCTCGCCTCACCTGAAAGCTGGTGGGAGGTCGACCGCAAGCATCTGGGGCTCACCAGGCCATCGCCCACAAAAGGACACGATCAACGCACACCCTCACAGTACGGGTTCTTGCATACGGCGACGGGTTTGTTTGGTCGCGTGGCCCGGTGAGAGTCAGACCACCGCGCCATGTGCACCCCACCCGTGGTCCGCGGAGCCGGGGTGGACTCCCCAAGTCTTCCTGATAGATAGAGGGGGCGTCGCCGTTGGCAGTTCCGCGCACCCGTGCCCGTGACCGGGAGGAGCCCATCCCAACGATCCCCGCCCACTCTTGCACGCACGGCTAGAAAAAGGCGCCTAGCCGCGCTGCGACCCGCAAAGCAAAGAAGAAAAGCGGCAGCGCCGCGGCCGCAGTCGCAGGCTCGCAGCAACACAAGCAAACGGCATATTGCGTTGGCGTCGGGGCACCGTCAGCCTGGCATCCCATTCCTTCCTTCCGCGCCCTCACCGGACAAACCCCACCTTTCCGCTCCGCTCCTGTTCATCTCTCGCTGCGGCCGATACGAGGGCTGCACCGCGCCGCCGGCCCCCGGATGCGGCGTCCCGGGCCGCTCCTCTTCGCGGCGCTGGCCGCCGCCGCCGTCGCGCTCCTGGCCCCGCTTCCGCCCGCGGCGATCGCGGCAGGTAAACCGTTCTCGCCTCTAGCAACTGGTTGAAGCCCACTCCGCTCCAGTGGCGGAACAGCATTAGCTGCATTTGGTATTTGGGGTTCGAGGGGATCGGTCGGCGATGGCGACGGCTGTGGGCGCGCTTCGCTCAATCACTGATTTCGATTTCTCCCCTTCCGACGCCCATTCCATGCGTCCCTAACGCCTTTGCGTTTTCTCTAGTGGTTCAGCCCAGAATATTAGTACAGTACTGTATTTTAGGACTTCATATTTAGGAGAGGCGAACGCGAATAGTAGGCATTTTAGGTGTGAGATGGAGTCACTTAGCCCGGGAACAATCCCTGAGCACGACTGGTACGAGGCGCATTTTTCGCCTGCCTTCTTTCTGTAGACGCAGTGTAGTTGGCAAGGGGAGCAGGGACCGCCACTGCTCACTCCCCATCGCGTTGGAGTCCCTTCTTAGGCCATTCAATTCGCTTACCTAATGGGTTGCTCTACACGTACGACTGGGCCGATGGACTTTCATGGCTCTTGGATTTCAATAGCCGTTGGACTTGGCTGTCCGTGAGGGTTTCAGTCCTGGCATTTGGCGTTACTGAACCACTGATAATGTCACAATATATTTTTTATTTGCCTGATGTTCCTCAGGTGCACATGGGTTGTTTTATCGCTTATACTCCCTCCGTTCCTAAATACTTGTCTTTCTAGAGATTTCAACAAGTGACTACATACGAAGTAAAATATGTCTACATACATCCGTATGTTGTAGTCCATTTGAATGTCTAGAAAGACAAATATTTAGGAACGGAGGGAGTATGTGCTAGCCTAGAGTGTACCATCAACTGCTCTATATTCGGTTTCGTAGCAGCTCTGGTGTAATGAGGGAAATAGGGATAGTATGAAATTTATGACAGGCAATCCATTAGGCACGTACCCAGCTAGTACTGGTCATGTGGCCTATTCCCAATGGTGTTAACTTCACTTCTGCTAGTAGATACTAGCACAATTCACGCTGTGAGCATAAGTGTTGGCTTGCTGTACTACATCAGTTACACGTTTTGCTCTTTCTGTGTGAGTGTCACATCCGCTTTGCCAAATTTTGCAAAGATACAGAATGACGAGTCTCCTCTTTCAAAAGTTTGTGATTATGGACCAGCCATATTTGCATCGTTACTCATGTTTGCTGTTTGACCATGCAGATTGTCCGTTAGATTTCAGTTGGCCCAACTTTGCGCTGATAGCTTCTGTATGCTCGGATCAGAATGGGCACTCAAAGTGTTGCCGCTATATCAATGCCGTCCTCACGGTCTCATCTGCAATGTATGCGAACACAACAGGCACTCTTGGGGTTCCGTCTGAACTTGCCGACGCCTGTATTCGCAATATCTCAGACACCTTCGTGTCCAATGGGATACTTCCTACTGCAGCTTCGTTTTGTGGCCTCGGGATCAAGATTCTGGCGTCCTATCAGTGCGTTGGGATGACTACTATCGTCCAAATGTTACAATCTCCGAATTTCAGTGACGTCACTAGAAATTGTGCAACCTCACTTCCAGATGACGTGAGCTGCAAGAGGTGCTTAAATTCTGGTTTGTCATACCTCCGCCATCTTGTGGGAGAACAAGATAATGTCACATTGAATACCTGCCGCGACGCTGCCTTTGTTGCTTTTGTGAGTCAAGGGAACATATCTACTCTTGATACAGCGGGTTGCTTTTTCAGCGTTCAGGGGCTGAGTGCTCTTCAAGGTTCGAATTTTCTCCTATCTATCATAGAATGGACAGTGCGCTTAGCAAAATTTTGGCCACACATTACTTTTGTATTTCATAACTTATAGAGGGAGAATAGTATTACATACTTTTGTTCTGACTTCTTAATGCTAGTGCACTGCATAAACCCCACAGGATTTACAACTATGATTTGTAGAACTTATGTAGCACCTTATAGAGGAAGGTCACCTTTTCCTTTTCTTGAAGAGTGTTAACTGCTAAGGCTAGTGCATTTCATGAATCAACATGATCATCACCAGTTTTCTTTTCAAAGCTTCAGCTGTGCCGCACTTCTTTTGAGTATCACATTTGCACATATTTCACAGTATGCAAATTATAGGTATATTATATTAATCAGCACATTTTTGTTGTAGATTTAGTACAAGTTTCATATGGATATACATCTTTGGTAAATGGAGTATATGTGGGCATCTTTTCAAAACTGTTTCATTTTACTATCTTGGTAGGCAAGATGGTTTATTTTGAGTAAGTTGATTGACTTTCTGCTGGGAAAATATACAGAGCTCTTACTTGATTTAGTTGCCTTACAGTTAAATGTGACGTCGTTGGCAGTGATGGCACATATGTGCTTTGTAATGAAAAGTAGTGCCATAGAACATAATGTCCCTTTGTAGTGGCATGTCAAGGGTTAAGGATTTTTCAGTAGTAATATATAATGAACTCCTTTATACTTAAAATGCGCCTTCTTTAAGGGATGCGGTTGTTGAGTGTTGTAATAATTTATGAATCTCATGCAGTGAACATCTCGACATCATCCCCAGTTGGATATCCTGCACCAAATATTCCCCCCAGTCCATTTGCATCGCAAATTCCTGGGGAACATGTTGCTGAAGTGCCATCCAACCATCATCATAGTTACAAGCGTGTACTATTCCCTGCCATCGGGGCCTTGGTTACAGGATTATCAGTTACACTACTGGTAGTACTGATTTTACTCATCCGAAGAAAGAGCAAAGAACTAGAAAAGATTGAGGGAATTAACCCTTTGAAAGTGTTGAGTTCCTGTGTCACAAAGGGCCAAGAAGGTAAACATTTAATGAGCTGTGGTCATGGTGCTGCCTTTCTTTTATTTGTAAGCTCTGTCTCGACAATTTGTTTACGAAATTATGTGTTACTAATTCAAACTTGATGGAGTGATGTTTGAGTCTGCTTTTGAATTACTTCCTATTAGAATTAGTTGGGGACCCATTTCAGTTCATCTGCTTAGCAATATTGTTTTGCAGGTACTTCCACCATTTTTGGCAGATTTAGTTACGCAGAAATGAGAAGGGCAACAAGAAACTTCAGCACCACACTGGGAGGGAATGATAATGCAATAATATTCAAAGGACAACTGAGCAATGGTTCTGTGGTTGCCATTAAGCGCATAGAGAGCTCACCAAAACAAGATCAGCAGTTATTCTGCAAAGAAATGGAATTTCTTGGGCGGCTGCATCATCGACATCTTGTTGGACTTAAAGGTTATTGTTTAACAAAATATGAGAGGTAAAGTACGCTGCCGCATCATCGCCATCTTGTCACACTTAGGGGTATTTTTTAACAAAGTTTGAGAAGTAAGGTTCAGGTATTAACCAATTTGTGGTGCTTTACAATTTCCCATCGTTCAGGTTCCAGGTTTATGAATACATGGAAAATGGAAGCCTTAAGGATCACCTTCACTGTAATATCTCACGACTCATGTTTCATTCTCATTCCATGTCTTATGCTACATCATTTGTTGAATTATGTGCAGAAAAGAATTCTTCTCTTTGCAGCGTCAGGTAAACTTTTGCTGCCGTGGAAAAACAGGATCCAAATCGCCATTGATGTTGCAAATGCTTTGGTAAGTTTCCAGAAATCTGTTATGGATTCTGAATTGGATCAAGTAATTCATACTGCCCTGCGGTTTTTCCCTGTTTGTCTAAGTCAGCAATTGGAATAGTTGGTGTTCGCTTAAAACTGTAGTTTGTATGTGCACCAAGTGTATATCGGTTTCCATCCATTTCTTTCTATCGACACCAAGTATATTTCAAGTGTTGTTATGTTTCTGTTGACTATCAACTATACCAAATATGAGTTACCTTTGTTTCAGGAGTACCTTCATTTCTATTGTGATCCTCCATTGTACCATGGAGACATAAAGCCTAGCAATGTCCTCCTGGACAAGAATTATCTCGCAAAGGTACATGGTGAATAATTTTCTTACACGGGGATTGATCCATACTTGTCAGCAGAGACTAATTGATTGATTTTCAATAGCTTGCTGGGTGTGGCCTTGCACACTGCTCAAATGGTGGCAATACTATCGTCAGTTCCACTCCAGGGACTGTCAAGATCCAGGCAACTCCTGGTAAGGGTCTTGTGCTGTTCTAGAGGTTTTGTTCTGTTATGCTGCTGAAATCTGAACTGCAGTCCCTGGTTACTTTGTACTTCTACTTCGTTTTAGCCTATGCCTGTGAACACTACTAATTTGTTCGATCAACATTTTCGTCAGTACCGTGTGTATATCTCCGTGCAGGGTACGTAGACCCCGAGTATGTGGTGACCCAGGAGCTGACGGCCAAGAGCGACGTGTACAGCTACGGCGTACTGCTGCTGGAGCTCGTCACCGGGAGGCCCGTGGTGCAGGACGACCGGAGCCTCGTGGAGTGGTCTCGCGAGCTCATCGGCACCGACTACCGCCTCCACGAGCTGGTGGACCCGGCGGTGGCGGACACGTTCGACCTGGAGGAGCTGCAGGTGATGGCGGACGTGATCCACTGGTGCACCCACAAGGACGGCGGGGCGCGGCCGTCCATGAAGCAGGTCCTCCGGATCCTCTACGAGCGGCTGGACCCGCTGTCCGGCGGGTTCGCGCGTGCCGTGGAGGTCGAGCAGGGGTACTACTACGGCGGGCAGAGCGGGAGGAAGGCGAAAGAGTGGCAGCAGCGGCCGCGGGATGGCGGCGGCGACGTGATCCAGTTCAGCGGCGAGCCGCGGTGCCTGCCATCGTCGTCCAGCACGTCCAGGTCCCACTGCAGCCGGACTGTGCCGCTGGAGGGCAACTCGCCGGAGCCCCAGTCGCCAGCCCACGCCGACCGCGGCGGGTTCTTCGCCTGAAGTCTGATACCACGACGGGATGCCATTTTTTGTCGGTTGATTAGGCATGAAAGAGTTGCAGGCTAGCAGCAGCTGCTTTTTGTGAAACCTCCGTGGCTCCGTCCAGATGGTAGGGCCTGCAGAGGTGATCTTGGAACTCCGCGCGACGCCAGCTTGCGAGTGAGTGATGCCTGGCAGGGTCCCTGGATCGAGATACGTGCTGGCGCGAGCAAAGAGCTCATGGCAGTCAGAGATGGCACGCCATCCCTAGGTGGTTGTTTCGTTCATCACAGCAGCATTGATTTGCATCGGGAGCATTGCGTGCTATTCAATTCCATTCAATTTCTGTACAGGTTTGTTTCATCCCTTGCTGGGATGGAGTACGAGTGGACTAGTGGAGGGATGCGGTGAGAGGCAGAGATCAGTGTCCTTGTCTTCCGTTTTGGGATGAGAGGGGTCCCTCTCCTTCCACAGTTGTTTGGTTGCCTCTGATTGATCTTTCGTTGGCTGGGAAATCTTTTTTTGAAACGGTTGCCTGGGAAATCGACACTAGTAGTAGTGGTACGAAGCAAATTCACCGACAAAATTACCAAGGCTAAAGCCAACTCCAGCGCGCGACCACATCCTATCCAGATGCGTTCGTTTAGGGAATGGACATACCAGACGACCCAGTACGCGACCCCATCCTCAAAAAACGTCTGTTTTTTATCTGCTTCGCTCCATTCTGGGAGAAAAATTGGACTGGCTTTGCGTCTGAAACGGACACGGGCGGACGCTCACTGCGTCGTCCTCGTCCGGGGCGTGTCCTTTTGCGTGTGACCCTGGCCCGCCTGTCATTGGCCCACACACCGATCCACCCACTCCTCTCTCTCCTCCTTTTTTCTCCTGGCCCACCACGCACACACACCGCCACGAGGCATAACAACCGTGGGCGTCGAGGAGCACGCAGCGCTCCCGTCGGCCGGCCTCGCCTCGCCGTCGTTGAGGCCCGTCGCCGCGGCCGGCGAGCAGGCAGGGGCGTAGGGTGCGCGGGCAGCGGCGAGTGCGGCAGGCGACAGCGAGCAGGCGCGGGCGCATGCGGGGGTGTGCGGGTGCGCGCGCAGCGGCGAGCGGGCGTGGTGGT